GAGAGAGAGAGAGAGAGAGAGAGAGAGAGAGAGAGAGAGAGAGAGAGAGAGAAGCGACTGAACGAAAACGTAGGATAAATAAGAAAAAGGTTAAAAGCCAATGCGAGTGAGAGACAGACAGAGATGGAGCTTACATGTATACAGATAAGAAGATATCCGTTGATAGAGGGAGAGAAATATCGGCTTGAAATTAAATAGTAAAACAGTTATAAAATTGTGAGAACAAAAACAAGAAAAAGAACATTGCAGAAAGATAGTCGAAATCCTAGTCAAAGGATGACAGTTTAGGACTCGGCAGAGCCCTAAAAATCCTCGTTATACGTTCATCTATAGGGCAGGTAATCAGTGACTCAACACCAACACTATAGTATATCTTTATATATAAATTCAAAATGTCCCCCTAGTGGTCTAGTCTAATCTAAAAATCCTAGAGTCCTACACATTCTCATGCACCAAGCCAACATTAATTTCCAACTAATTTTGACTACATTCTACAATTTGCACCTACAGAAAAGAACATTGCCCACAACATGTCGTCGTTTGCGGAGTCCGCCGGAATGAATTACTTGAAGCAGAGCTCGATCGACTTTGTCAATTACAACAAGCGTCAGATGTCGCGCATCTATCCGAAGGGCACTCGGGCCGACTCGTCCAACTATATGCCGCAGGTATTTTGGAACGCTGGCTGCCAGATGGTCTCGCTGAATTTCCAGACATCCGATCTGCCCATGCAACTGAATCAGGGCAAATTCGAATACAATGGCGGCTGCGGCTATTTGCTGAAACCGGACTTTATGCGCCGGGCGGACAAGGACTTTGATCCGTTCGCCGATGCGCCGGTGGACGGTGTGATTGCGGCCCAGTGCTCGGTGAAGGTGATTGCCGGCCAGTTCTTGTCGGACAAGAAGGTGGGCACCTACGTGGAGGTGGACATGTTTGGCCTGCCGTCGGACACTGTGAAGAAGGAGTTCCGCACGCGCTTGGTGCCCAACAATGGGCTCAATCCCGTCTACAACGAGGATCCGTTCGTGTTCCGCAAGGTGGTGCTGCCCGATTTGGCGGTGCTGCGCTTTGGCGTCTATGAGGAGAGCGGCAAAATGATTGGACAACGCATCCTGCCCCTGGATGGCCTGCAGGCTGGCTACCGCCACGTCTCGCTGCGTACCGAGGCCAATTTCCCGATGTCGTTGCCCATGCTGTTCGTGAACATCGAATTGAAGATTTATGTACCTGATGGCTTTGAGGACTTCATGGCCATGCTGTCGGATCCGCGCGGCTTTGCCGGCGCCGCCAAGCAGCAGAACGAGCAAATGAAGGCACTGGGCATCGAGGAGCAGAGCGGCGGGGCCGCTCGCGATGCCGGCAAGGCCAAGGAGGAGGAGAAGAAGGAGCCGCCGCTCGTCTTCGAGCCGGTCACCCTCGAATCGTTGCGGCAGGAGAAGGGCTTTCAGAAGGTCGGCAAGAAGCAGATCAAGGAGCTGGACACGCTGCGCAAGAAGCACGCCAAGGAGCGCACCTCGGTGCAGAAGACCCAAAACGCGGCCATCGACAAGCTGATCAAGGGCAAGAGCAAAGATGATATACGCAACGATGCGACCATCAAGAATGCGATCAACGACCAGACCAAGCAGTGGACCGACATGATTGCCCGCCACCGCAAGGAGGAATGGGACATGCTGCGCCAGCATGTCCAGGACTCCCAGGACGCCATGAAGGCGCTCATGCTGACCGTGCAGGCGGCCCAGATCAAGCAGCTCGAGGACCGTCATGCCAGGTGAATGCACACACACACACACACACACACACACACTTAAGGCTAAGGCTACTCATTTACATGTTTGCACTCGCAGGGATATCAAGGAGCTCAATGCCAAGCAGGCCAAGACCTCCGCTGATACCGCCAAGGAAGTGCAAAACGACAAGACCCTTAAGACCAAAAACGAAAAGGATCGTCGTCTGCGCGAAAAGCGTCAGAACAATGTCAAGCGCTTTATGGAGGAGAAAAAGGTAGGACAGCTTCAACAAATATATCCACTCATAGCCTAGATGTAGAAAGCTCTCTTCCATAATGGTTCCTTGCTCGACTTGTAGTCAAAATTTTGATATAACTTTTAGTTTACCCATAGATAGACCCTTTTCCTTTTATCCACTCTAGATGTCCATAAAACTGCATTTCCTTATATCTACTATATCCTAAGTCGATCCATCAATTCCTCTATCTATTTGATCCCTCTTCACTCAATCGACTTTACCCCCCATATAGTTCCTCACTTCTCATCTCGCCCATTTTCTCCCCAATCCTACAAAGCTCCACCTCTATTATGCCTTAATGGAATGCAATGCAATACTAATCGTCTATCGTTTATCGTTATTCACAGCAAATCGGCGTTAAGCAGGGTCGCGCCATGGAAAAATTGAAATTGGCACACGCTAAACAGGTTGAGGAATTTAGTACCGATGTGCAAAAGGTACTAAATGAAACACGGCCGCAGACCGACACTATAACCAGTATTGAGACTGTACTTTAGACCACAAAAAACCGATAACGATTATCAAACAATAACATAAATAATAATAATAAATAATATCAAGTACCAAAAAAACGTAAATCGGTTGAACGTTAACCGGCTAGCCGATGCTTTAAAGTGTTTCGTACAGCTAGTTGTAATTGTAGCTAATGACAAAAAAAAGCAAAAACTTTAACGAGTCACGAGTCACGAGTCACGAGTCACGTGTCACGAGTAGCGAGTACTCAGACCACACACAGAACGTTCTAGTCGCTACAAAACAACTCTATTCATTTGAGCAAAAGAAAAATAGAGAAATATACCAAAAAATAAATACCTAAAATGCAGAGAAATATTATAAAACGAATATCGAAATAATCGAGAATAATGCAAATTCATGAGTAGCTGCTAATCAAATTTTAACTAACTGCTAAGATGTAATTATCTATATCCATTTATTTCCCTATATATGTATATATATATATCAATTTATGTTATATATGTGTATATATGTGTATTTATTTGTTCAACTTTTTTTCCGATTTCAATTACTGTTATTTTTTTTCTAATTTTATCAATTTAATTTTGCAAAAATTGTTTTCAAAATTTGTTTTTTGTTTGCTTCGTCTTCAGTTTTGATGTTGTTTTCTCCTTTCCAAAATATTTGTATAGAGACTTTTGTTGTTTTTGTTTATAAGATTTCATCTAGTATTTTTTTTTCGGTTTTTGGTTTGAAATTCTAGTATTTGTATTTGGCAGTTAACTTGAATTCCAAGCAAAAGAACGAGGCAGCTCTATTACATATATATATACGAGGTCTGCTCACAGGGTATTGATAAATATATTTATTGTGTGCCTGTAAAGTAATCCCCATTGGGTTTCTTCCAATCATAGATGTTCCTTCATCAATGCTTTCTTCAGCTGCTGTCCCAAGGAACCTCTTCAGAAACAAAAAAGAGAGAGTTTCATTAATGTTCCAGTTTTTGGAATTAATTATCGAAAATCGATAACACATAGCCCGTGAAAATGGAAAATTCATATCACTCTTTGAGCACGCCTCGTGTATATAATGTTTGTCTAACTATTGTACTACTCATACTTGAGCTGTTTAGTCTTACATTTCTCTCTCTCTCTCTCTCACTATCTCTATCTTTGTCTATCTCTGTGTTTCTCTCTCTCTCTCTCTCCCACTCTCTCTCGCTTTCACACACTCTAACAATTTTATGCTAATAACATTAACATAACATTTTGAGCATTTACCGCTATTCGCTAATCGTTTTGCTGTGCGTCTAAATTGAAACGCAGCCAAAATCATGTCCAAAATTAACCGAACAAAATTCCATTCTCTCTCTCTTCTTTTCTCTTTTCTCTCCCCCCAAACACACACACACAAACACACACATACACACATATATATCATGCTGCTGCTGAACATTGATCACTGATCCCTGATCGATGATCAAAACTAACAACACTTCCCATTAACAGCTTATGGATATGTACAAAATCGAGGAGGAGGCCTATAAGACCCAAGGAAAGACGGAGTTTTATGCTTAAGCAACAACAACAAGAGCAACAACAGCTTAAAGAAATCTATATAAAAAGTTTAAGAAGAAGAACAAGAAGAAGAGTTTTAGTGTACGCCTATATAATTTAGAAATATGAAGAAAATGAAGAAATCAATTCAAAAACAAAACAAAACAAACAAAAAACTGTATTCGAAATAAAAAGTCAACACTTTGTGCTTTATACTTATTTAAGACGTTACAAAACGTGGCAAACTATCCAACAAAAATAAATATATATATATAAAAAAAATATATATATACATGCTTAGATATTATAACTAAATTGTTGAAATAACTTTGACAGTTTTCGATCTCCAAATACTTGGAAATACCAATATTTCAAATTATTTTTTGCTGTAAAACTGCAAAAAAAAAAAAACACATGAATATAAATAAAACAAGATACCAGAAAAAAAAATACCGAACGAAAAGTAAAAAGAAATCTATTGGTATTTATACATCAATAAAACGGTACACCGATAAGCTTAGACCATGCCATAAGTAAAAAAAAAAAAAAAAAAAAGAAAAAACAAAAAAAAATACTTTCCAAGCTCTCTGGAAACGTAGCGCAAAGCGCTTTTTCTTTAGTATTTTTTTTTTTCTTTTTTTTTAGTTTCAATTTTGTCTCAGATTTTCGAGTGAAGCGAGAGGAACAGTTACAGCTACCACTTGTAGTACATATATATGAGGAAATTGAAGAAAATACTAAACATATATAGCATAACATATGTGTTTCCGATTTTCCACCTAACAGCTTAGCAAACCAAAACAAAACAAATATATATACTATGATTATGCGCATGAAACAAAATAAAATGAAGAAGAAGAAGAAGAAAAATTAAAAACAAAAAAAAACTATATACAAAAATATGGGTTTTTAATACTAAAGTGAAAAATAATACAAGAACAAATAGCATTTATTTTGAATGAATGCTAAAAATATCTCCTGATGCTTAATGAAATAACAATAAAAATATCAGTCAATGTACATCCCATTTACTATGCGTGCATAACCTCAAAATCAAATAGATCAATTCTGCTAGAAACCAAAAAAAAAAAAAAAAAACCAAACAAAAGGAAAAATAATACCATTTAAGTGTTTATATAAATGTCAAAAAAAAAAAAAGAAAAAAAGAAAAAATCTTTTTAGTATGAACAATTCAAATGAAACACCCCTACCGGCAGTTCTATATATATGCATGTATATACATATGTATAGACACCCATATATAGGTATTTTATATGGGCCCGATTTGCGGTACACCCACACCTGCATAAATACATGCATATATATATAACTAGAAAATCATCAAAAATTTAAAATTGTTACAAGAACTTTATAAAGCGAAGCGTTCGCTTCGTTCAACAGCAAAAATACTTTCGCGAATTTTACAAATGAAAGCTAGCCAAGAAAATATACCAAAAGGAAAAACTAAATGAAAAATACAAAAATTAAATTATTAAAGAAACATACAGACAAATAACACTATTTAATATCTTTTAGTTTTCAAGTTGAGTTCGTTTCGGTTGATGCACCTCAAAAAGTTTGTAACGTATTTATGTTGTAGTTGTTGCGAAAAGAAATATACCCAAAAAATACTAAGAATACTAAAAAAGTATATAGTATATACATATATATAAATTGTATATTGAAAATTGTAGAACAATCCGAAAATTGATTTTTTTTTTTTTTTTGTCACTTGAATGTGCCCTACAAATTTAGATGAAGAAAATTAAGAAGAAGATCTAAGTTAACTTTTACAAGGTAATGCTACTAATATATTCAACCTATGACCATTTATATCTATTTAGAACAAATTGCGAGCGTTTTATAAATGTGATAAAAAAAATATAACGAAAAATTTTGATTGAAAAAAAACTTTGGAAGAGTTGCTTAGTTGTCACTAACAGTTTGTTCATCATTATTGTGTGCAGCATTATGTCTAGTAAAAATTTAGGAATTACGCCCTCTTATTTTTTGGTCATTTCGTGCACTTAACAAAAGGGAAAATACTAACCGATATTTACCTTTGTATTATATGTAATATATACTGTGCCAATCCCGAAAAAAAAAAAAATCAAAAAACAAAAATATGAATTATTTTGATTTTTGTATACATTAGAGAAAGGCCTAGCCTCTTAGTCAAAACGTAAGCCCTCAACTGGAGAAGGCACATAACATAGATGCAAGTGTATTTCAAACGGTCAAAAGTTAGACTCGCCAGACAGAGACACGGCTATGGACAGAGCATTTAGAGCTCTGCTTGAATGTGTGAAAGAGACAGAGTCAGAGAGAGAGAGGGATTGATTGAAAGAGCGTAAGAGCGTATACAAATCGAAGAGGATAAGAATGGAAGAGTTGAAAATAGAGCAAAATATAAGAGTGGAAGAGTATTAGAGTATAAGAGTAGAGGTGTATAAGAGTGTATGAGCGTGAGCTGTCTTGCTTGGCTGAATTTTGTCAATGTGTCAATTTTAATTTCGATTTTATTTAGACTTTACACACATATATATATATATTCGATATATGTTATATATTCGATACTAGATTGTTAGAGAGTTAACCCACGCTAGGGGCCACACACATTTGATATAGTTTACACGAATTCGATGCAAATCACACGAGTCCATCAACAAACTACCCTTTCTCTGTCAAACAAAATACAGGGTATAAGTAAGCCCATTCAAATAAAAACAAAAAAAAAAATAAGCAAAAATACAGATTAATGCGTGTATTTAATTATAATATGATTATTATTATTATGCACCAAGTAAATAAAATGAAAACCAAAACATAAGTTATAAAAGAAATAATTAACAGCAAGCAACTGTATAAATATTATTATTACGACTACATACAATTATAGTTTAAAAAAAACAAAAAATTAAAAAAATCTAATACTAAATTGAAATGCAAAAGGCAAAGAAAACAATGAAGAAAGTTAAGAAAATGAAATTCTATTTAACAGTGCTGCGTATGAACTTATGATTATATACATACTATATAACTATGTATTACTATTATTATTATTAAAATTATCATTATCATTATTATGATTCTAATTATTGTTATGATTATTATTACTATGATTGCAAATAGAAATTCGTATCATTTGCATCGATTGCTCAAGAACAACTAGCAAATGTTTCCCACTTCACAAATTATTTATTTCAAATATTAAAGAAAAGATAACCAGAATTTATCGTTCTCTAAGTTGTTTAATTTTATTTACCACATAAAAGAACTCAAAGAAAAAAAAAAAAAAACAAAAACTCCCTCGATTAATGCAATTATTTTGATCTTCACGCAAGATCCGAAAGCTATATATCTAAAAACAATAGAAATATGTTTCATAAAAGATTATATATGTAACACAACACGGAAAAAATTAATATTTTAGTTGTATTTAAGCATCCTTTAAAGAGCAATCAATTTCCTTTGCTAGCAAATGCAAATAGAGAAAATACAAAAATAAATAATATAATATATATATACATGCCTACATAACAGCTTAAATGTTTTATTTTCGTTAATTTATATATAAATACATTAATGTTCCTTACTTTCTTTTGATTTTTGAAACGCAAGAGAGCATACAAGTCAAGGGAATAACAAAAGAAAAATCTAACTAAAATCTAAAGCAGAATCCTTGGCTGAAACAAAAAGAAACAATTAACAACACACACAACAAAATAAAAGAAAATAATAATAAAAAACACAAAACAACAAATACAAATTGTAAACGATATTTATGAAGTTTTGGTGTTGAGGTCATAAAAACAGTTGGAAATAAACGATTTTCTGATGAATTGACATTCGCTCTGGTTTTTCTCTTTTAACGGTTTTTGCTTTTGAAAAATCGAAATTTAAATATTACAACACAACCAAGAGAACTGTGTAGGTAAGGCTCAAAAGATCATCATTTGGCAAATCTACAGCATCAACTGGCTTACTATTCGACAATAGAGTGATCTTCAAATTCAGATTTATTGAAGACATACATATTTACCCATTTTTAACGTTGGTTCCGTATTCTTATTAGAAATTAGCAGGTTGGAATATCATGAGCTAGCAGCACTGTTAAGAGTCTCACTCAATCGTGGCTGGCATGATTACTTAACAGAGCTATGTTGCAGCGCACGTTGAGTGTTCTGTTTCAGAATGTCTCCCAGATATTAAACATTATATAAAATAACAACTATTGTTGCTGAATCATTTGTATATCAATGGTAATGTTACTACTAATAATTGCAAGGTCTTATACATACAGTGTGATCTTTACGAGAGAACTCCAAGCCGAAATTCAAATTTAAGCTAACAGAGCTGTTTCGCCACTAGCAGAATGTTTAACAGCGCTTAACATTGTAAATGCGCGCAAGTTTGTGCTAACAGTAACGCAAAATTGCGTCAATGCACATATGTTAGAGCTTATTGCGTCAACATAACACAACACATTATAAAACAAAATTATTTCCAATTGATAAAAAGTTGTGCCTGGAAATACACATAAATATATAAGCAAAAATGAACAAAATTTGCCAAATTTTATTGCGACCGAGCCTGGCCAACAACTTGGCCACAACAATGCGCACGATGCCCGCGCTTGTAGCATCTCCACGGTGGTACAGCGCGGATGCAGCTGCTCCGCCGGCCGCAGTGGATAAAGAGACATTGGACAAGCTGGTGCGCACCAACAAGGTGGTCGTATTCATGAAGGGCAATCCACAAGCTCCACGCTGCGGCTTCAGCAATGCTGTGGTCCAAATCATGCGCATGCATGGCGTCCAATACGATGCACATGATGTCCTGCAAAACGAGGCACTGCGTCAAGGTGAGTGAGATCCCAGTCGCGTGTATCGCAATCTTACTAAATGCGTGCCACTCTCCCATCAAACATAGGCATCAAGGAATACACCGATTGGCCAACCATACCACAGGTGTTTATCAATGGCGAATTCGTCGGTGGCTGTGATATTATGATGCAGATGCATCAGAGCGGCGATCTAATCGAGGAGCTCAAAAAGGTGGGGATCACCTCTGAGCTGCTAAAGGCCGAGGAGGCCAAAGAAGCGACGAAAAAGTAACCCATAAATAAACAAAAGCAAAATTAGTTACAAATTAATTGTTGAATTCTTCAATATATGTACATCTATATATATCTATATACATATTTGGTCGCTATATTTCAATTGTGATCTTTGGATTTGCGCCGCTTGGCCTTGTTGGCCTCACGCTCACGCTGCTCGTCGATCTTCTCCAGCGCCGCCAATATTCGAATGTGCGCGCCCTGCGTCAGGTCCTCCACCTGCAAAAGCTCGCGACATTTTTGCTGCAGCTCCGCACTTTGCATGTTCACCACAATTTGCGTCAAGCTTCGTGCTATCGTATTGCGTATCATATCATCCGGTGGCATTGGCAGTGGACGACGTCTTGGACGCGAGCCACTTGCCGACTCCGACTCCTGGCCCTGCTGCTTGTCCTGATGCTTTTCGGCCATCCTGCACACTGAGAGCTGTCTTCCTGAACTAAACTGCAAGCTTTTGCCATTTACCGTTTGCCACTTTAACCCTTCGCTGGCCATCGACTTTTAATATCATTGCTGTTGTTGTTCTGTTGATCGGCCATCTTGCACACTGAGCGGAGCGCTGCCCACAAAACTGAGCTTCAAGTTTTGTCATTTACCGTTTGCGACTTTAACCCGTCGCTGGGTGTTGGTTTTTTTCCCCATGGTGTTGCTGAAAGCTTAACCCCTAACAGACCGCAAGTTATTTACATGATTTTTCTCATTTATTTTTAAATATTACAATATATAATATATAATACATGTTGATTTAGTTGGTGTTGCTTCTTAATATTTTTTGTTGTTTTTCATACAAATATATATATATATATATATATATATATATATATATATATATCTGTATATGTATATTGCTTGAAATTAACATTTGTTATTACCGTTATACATATGAACATTATTACTGTTGATGATTTCCATAAACTTGTTTATTAATAATTAATATTATTGTATTGTTTCGTTCGTTTTGTAGGTAATATGCGTTTGTTTTTCTCTTCTCAAGATCGAAATAGTTTTACATACAATTAAAAAAAAAACAAAAAAGACTTATGCGCTATAACTTGCCTATTAGTAAACAATAATAAAAAGTGTTAAACGCGATATGCCATACAAGCATATATACACATATATGTATACGAACCGATACCAAATAAGCTGATACATATATGTATACATGTGCTTGTAGTTATATAAAAAAGTAGATTTGTAATACTTCTAAAGTTCAGCTCATCATAAATAACCAGCATTAGCAAATTGGAACAATGATTGCGCAAAGCGAGCTTTTGCGTAGCTGCTATTCGTTGCAACGGGAAGCGAGTAACGGTCAGCAAGTAGCGAGTAGACGGTAGCTGTAGCTGTTGTACAACACTGCAACAGGGCTCAAACAATGGACGACTTGTCCAGAATGGAGGAGGTGTCCAATAGGAGCTCAGTGCTACCGCTGAGAATGTCGTACAGCTCGTGGGGCGCATCGCCCGCAATGGGGCTGCCGAATGGAAAGAATGACGAGAGTGTGGATAGCTGCATTGGTCCGCCATTCACCACATTCAGGCCATTGGCAGTCGATGCTCCGCCTCCTGCGCTTGGATCGGTCTTGCGACGTCGCTCCACACCGTCCACATACTCCACTGGCTCCTCTTGCTGGCGCTGATCCTGATCCCGCAGCGACTGCTGGCTTGGCCGTTGCTCGCCCATCGCTTCGTAGAAGGCGTCGGGCAGGTCCTCGAAGCTCTGCAGATCGATGCAGCGCTGCGCCTTGGCGATGTTGCTCAGCATCAGGCGATAAAAGAGATCCACCTGCGGCTGGCCACCGCCACGGATGTCCAGCACGGGAAGCCAGCGATAGTAGCACTGATCCCACACGGACAGATCGAGTATGCGATGCGAGGGCTGCAGGTAACGGTCTTGCGGCACAGTGGACTGCGTCGCAAACAGCTGTGGATTGATGGTGTAGCGTGATGGAGAGGATGTTGCCAGTGGTCCGCCGGCTCCAGTCGTTGAGAGCAGCTTGTGTTGTCCACCCACGGCCAAGGAGCGTCGATAATTTTGACTGGCAGCCAAATCTCCTCGCTGACGCTGATAGAGCGGATTGGTGAAGAACATCTTATCCTTTTCGCTGAACTGCTCGCCCCAGTCCCAAACGGGCCGCAGCACCAGTCGTCCCTCGCTGACGGCGCGCGCCCGCTGAGCCTGGCTGTCAAACTGGAAGGTGTCGAATATGGGCATGAAGCAGGCATCCCACAGCGTCGTCAAATACGTTTGCGAGAATTCAAACTCGTCCGGAAATTGTTGGAGCAGTTGCCACACACAGTCGAGATAGAGTAGAAATATGGGACTCTGTTCACTGTCCGCAGCCTGCTCGCTGTTGGACACATAAACATGACCCAGGCGGCGCTGGAACGGATGCTCCAAGGCCACCCATTCCTTTTGCACCAGCGACTGGAAGCCGTCGATGGTGCGGAAATGCGGATCGAGCAGCAGCTGAGTCAAGCTGCTAATCACGCAGCACAGATCCCGGCCATTGGACTCCTGCAGCACACAGGTAACGGAGGCGCGCAATGTGGCGGCCGCCTCCGAGGCTTGCCGCAGGCAAAGCGAGACGTACAGCAGCCAGTTGGTCTTCTCGAGCAGAGCCAGATACTTGTCGTCCTGTAGCATGAACTTCTCCGGCGTTTCGGGCGTGCAGAGGCGCCGCAGCTTGTGGTACGCCCGCTGCACGTCCTGCGTGCTAGGAAGCTGGTCGGTCAGCTGGATCAGTTTCAACTGCTTTCGCTCATCGCACTTGCGCACCAGTTCGAGCATAATGTTCTCCAGCTTCGTGTCCTGCTGCGAGCTCGGCTGCAGCTCGGCCAGGCGCACCAGCGAGGCGGCGCTGCTGCCATAGCTGTACACCCAGAAGGCGGCCCGCGAGTCGCAGAAGGCCAACGACAGCTGCAGGAAGCGGTCCACCTCACAGCACTTGGGTATGACAAAGTGGGGCGGCAGCGTGTACTTGGATGCGTGCAAACGGTTCTGGAGCAGCGGCACGGAGCTGGCGCTGACCACCTGCCACTCAGTGGCGCCGCAGCGTATCAGCTCGCGTGCCCAATCGTTCTTGCTGGCGTACATGCTGACCCCGACCAGGGTGGAGTAGTAGGGCTCCTGATACGAGTAGGCGAAGCTCAAGTCGTGCCGCATGGGGTAGGCGAAGCGGGCCAGCGCCGAGGCAATCAACTTGCCGTAGTCGCTGGCTCCGCTCAGCTTCGAGTCCTGCTGCTGGAAGGCGAACTTGAGCAGCCGAAAGTTCTTGCATATGATGTGCAGTGCCACGATCCGGCCATTGAGATTGTGCTGCTTGGCGGGCTCCAGCTTTTTCCGTCGACTGCTCGTGCCGGCCATGCGCGCCGCCTGGAGCGCACTCGCCGCTCTGCCCTGCTCGGCAATCGTATAGATCTGGTCGATGTTGTTCAGCGTCACCTCGTTGCGACCCAAAAAGTTATTCCCCTGGTACAGATCGCTGGCCAAGGGCGCCGACTGCGCGCTTTGACCACCGTGCAGCGGCACGAAGGCCAGCTTGAAGTTGGTCACACTCAGCAGCCCAAAGGTGGCCTCCTTATGGCCACCTCTACTGTACCTCTGACCGTTTGCTCCGCCACTGCTGCTGCTGCTATTGTTGCCATTGCCATTCCCATTGCCGATGCTGGTGTTAATGCTGTTGCTGGTGCTGCTGCTGCTGTTGCTGCTGTTGCTGTTGCCGCTGCCCTCCATTGGCGCAATCGGGGAATACATGTAGGCGGGCGCTGAGGCAACGATTTGCTCGCCGCTCAGCATGCGAGGCGTGGCCAGGTGCACGTCACGCAGGTCGCTGGGCAGGCACCACTCGTTCGTATCCGCCGTGGCGCGCACATCCCCAGCCATGGGCGCCACGTAGCTGGTGAAGGTGTTGCGCTTTCGATGGTCTGGCATATCATTGCTGCCAGTGGCCATCCTCAGCCACTGCTTGTGATTATAATTGTTATTATAATTCTTATTGTTCCTGTTTGGGTCGGCCAGTGCGAACAACTTTGGTGTGTGGGTCCGCACGTACTTTGAATATTCAATTATTTCTTATTTCCTGTTTGCCTACAAGTCGCTGCTGCTACCGCTGCTGCTGCTGTAGTCGTTGTTGTTGCTGTTGCGACTGTTGCTGCTGCGGCGGTTGCTGCTGTTGATTTGCGTGCAGCTGGCTGCTTAACCGTTAGCCAATGCCGCCTCCAATGGCTGACAACTGTATGTAATATAATAAAATAAACAGCAAAATCATTAGTTGATTCTCGATGTTTGGTGTAACTTTACACGCACACACCCGCATAAACACACACACACACCCACACCTACATATGCAGTTACAGATATACGAGCATAGCACATAGCCAAGCATAGACGAAATTAGAATTATCGTTGATTTTGATAAGTTTATCAGTTCCAGCTTACCTATTATTTATTTTATTGGTGGTTTTGTATTGCTTGCGTTGCTTTCGATGTTGGTCTTTAACGTGGAATCGCTTTAACATGTCATCTTTGTGCATCATCTATCAGCGCACATATGCATGCATATAAAGTCATTTATTTATTTGTTATTTTCGTTGTTGCCATTAATATATATACTAATATATATACTTATATATGTATATACATATATATATAAATATATACATATATGTATATATATATATAAGTATATACGTTGGCCACTAATACAAACACGCATGCACACTCATTTCGTGTCACAAATAACTATCGTTATCGGCGATGTGACTGGGCTTTCAGTCAGCTGATTCAGTGCCACCGCAATGTGCGACAACACTTACCAGCCTCGATAGTATTGCTAATTACTTTTGACGTCATAAGCAAGATGATTTGTTCATTTACGTTTAATATAAAATATAGTGTAAAAATCTAACATTTCAATCAATATTTAATATCAAGTGCAATGTCTTTTTTACATTTTCTTTTTAATTCATCAGTACATGATTCGATAAATTTTTTCGATTTTGTTTTGCTTAATACCAACATCGATATATTAAATATGTGGTCTCTAGTCAGTGCTGTCATTTTACTTCTTTGCCGTCAGATTTGGCTTTATTTAAAATCCCTTCATCACGCTGTTGCTGGTACAAAAAAATTTTAAAACTTAAAACTATTTTAATAATACATGAATAATTTATTATTATAACTTTTGAAAGACCGATTCGGGAAGAAGGAATAATATGGATTTAATACAAAAAATAGAGTAGCCTGTTTTTGCTTAATTTTCTTCAGCTTAGCTCTTTTTAGCTGTTTCTCTTTGGCAATTTAGCTTCATTTAATCGAAATATTATGACAGCACTGGCTGTAGTCAACACGACTGAAAAATCACTTGGCCGGTAAACACGCGGCAGACAGTGAGCTTGACGTAAATTTAATAAAACTACTATTAACTTCAGCAGTTAAAGAGCAATCCATGAATTTACTGTAAACGGAGAGTGAATGCTTTGGGTACACCGTAGCAATCGGTGTTTCAAATTTTGCCTATTACCAGTCAGAGCATTGCCGTCGTCAGCGACAATCACAACAAATTTTCAGTGTCATTTTAAATTGTTACTGTCGTCGGACGGTCGATTCGCGCGACACGCAGCTGAACTTAATAGCAAACAATTAAAACCAATTTCGAGGAATCATAATCGTGTACTATATACGATGGCGGAGCAGGTTATATACTTGGACACTCCCGATAAATCGGAAATGGATAAGAAATTATACAAGTAAGTAAAGCACATCATATACATATTTATGGCTATACAAAAACACATAAATACATACATAGCATACGTCTTGAACGTTCATGCATACGCAAATACACGTGTATTGGCTAAATAGCCATATTTTGTGTTTAATTTTCTATGCGGCGCTTAAAGAGCTTAGCGTAGCGAAGACAAAACACCAAACTTAAAAGTGTTTAGGCGCGATTAGTAGCAATATAAGAGTTTTTAGTGGAACGAGTATAAGAGTTATAATAAGACCAGTAGTAAATACAGATCTCAATAGAAGAATGCTAATGGATGATGCCAATTCTATAGGTTATTCTCTCTTTTCTCTTGGGCATTTTTCTTATATCTTGGTTTCATTTCTAATTTCACTCGTTGCAGATTAATTCGTTTGCCCAATGGAATACGCGCTCTTATTATATCGGATCCGACTCCGATGCCCCACGATGGGTTCACTACTTCAGAGTCATCGGTCGGCGAAGGAAGCGAGACGTCTGGAGAGACTGAGACCACGAACAGCTCAAGCGAGTACACAACGTCCACTTCGGGCAGCGGACACAGCACTTCGGATTCCGATAGCGAAGTGGGCGATGAGAAACTGGCCGCCTGTGCGGTCCTCTTGGATTACGGCTCATTTTCCGAGCCTCGCGATTATCAGGGCTTGGCTCATTTCTTGGAACACATGATATTCATGGGCTCCGAAAAGTATCCCGAGGAGAATATGTTCGACGCACATATCAAGAAGTGCGGCGGCTTCACGAACGCCATCACAGACTGCGAGGACACCGTTTTCTACTTCGAGGTGGCCGAGAAACATTTGGACTCGAGTCTGGACTATTTCACGGCCTTAATGAAGCACCCACTGATGAAGCAGGAGGCGATGCAGCGCGAACGCTGCTCCGTTGATTCGGAATTCCAGCAGATCGTGCAGGAGGATGAGACAAGACGTGACCAGCTGCTGGCCAGCCTGGCCGCCTACGGCTATCCCCACGGCACCTTCGCCTGGGGCAATATGAAGACTCTCAAGGAGAACGTCGATGACCTGGAGCTGCACCATATGCTGCACGAAGTCAGACGCGATCACTACGCTGCCAACCGGATGTACTTGTGCGTGCAGGCACGCCTGCCCATCGACGAGCTGGAGAGCATGGTACTGCGCCACTTTGCCGACATACCCAGCAATGACGTCCCGTCGCCGGATCTGTCCATGTACGGCTACCAAAATTGCTTTCGTCCCGAGTTCCATAAGAATGCTTTCTTCGTGAAGCCCGTGGAGAATGTTATCAAGCTGGAGCTGACCTGGGTACTGCCCTGCGTGCGCCAATACTATCGCAGCAAACCGGACCAGTTCCTTTCATTCTTGCTCGGCTACGAGGGCAAAGGCAGCCTCTGCGCGTACCTGCGCCGTCGTCTGTGGGCCCTGGAGCTGGTCGCTGGCATTGATGAAAACGGGTTCGATCTCAACTCCATGTACAGCCTGTTCAATTTGTGCATCTATCTAACCGATGAGGGTTTCAAAAACTTGGACGATGTCCTGGCGGCCACGTTTGCCTATGTGAAAGTCATTGCCCAGGCTGATCCGAAGATTCTACGCACTATCTACGAGGAGCAGCAAGGCATCGAGGAGATTGGCTTTCGCTTTCAGCCACAGCGTCCGGCCATGGACAATGTGCAGCAGCTGGTGCTGAACTGCAAATACTTTCCGCCCAAAGATGTGCTCACCGGCAAGGATCTGTACTACGAGTACAACGAGAAGGATTTGGTCTATATGATCGCCCATCTGAACGAATTTAAATTTAATCTAATGCTGACTGCTAGAAAATACGGGGATTTGGTCTTCGATAAGCGCGAACCGTGGTTTGGCACCGAATACACCAGCATCCCAATGCCAGAGAAGTGGACACTTCTGTGGTTCAGTGCGGATCCCAAAAAGATGCCCGAACTCTTTCTGCCTGAATCGAATCGATTTATTACCAACAACTTTGACATCTATTGGCACCAGATGGGCAAGCCCGTACTGCCAGATTCGCCCAAGAAACTGCTGCACTCGGAGATCTGTGAGCTCTGGTTCCGCGGTGATGACAAATTCGAGCTGCCCGAGGCGTACATGTCCTTCTATCTAATTTCACCGTTGCCGCGCAAAAGTGCCCAAAAGTAAGCATACTCTCCCCATCTCTCCCACTTCCGTTAAATGATTAGTGATTCACTCTCTCCCTCTCTCTCTGCCTGCCTACAGTGATGCCATGTGCGCCTTGTACGAAGAGCTAGTCAAGTTCCTCGTTAGCGAGGAGTTGTATCCAGCCACCAGTGCTGGACTCAACTATACCTTCAGCGTGGGCGAGAAGGGTCTCATACTGCAAGTGCATGGCTACAATGAGAAGCTGCATTTGCTTGTCGAGTCCATTGCCGAGGCGATGATCAGAGTGCCATCGATGCTCAATGACGAGATGTTGGCCACCTTTGTGAAGGATCAACGCAAGACCTACTTCAATACGCTAATCAAGCCACGTGCCCTAAACAGGTGAACACATCTCTCTCTCTCTCACTCACATGCACTCTCTGTTAGAGACCCTGTTTCTAACGGCTCTCCATTTGCTTTAGGGATGTCCGCCTGTGCGTAGTGGAGCATTTGCGCTGGCTAATGATCGACAAGTACAAAAGCCTTAACAATATTACACTAAAGGATCTGCAGGAGTTCGCCACCCTCTTTCCACAGCAGCTGTATGTGCAGGGCCTGGTGCAGGGCAACGTAACGGAGGAGCAGGCCCACAATGTAATGAACACGCTGTTGAGTCGCCTCGGCTGCGTGCAGATTGAGGAGCACTACTATGTGGAGGATCGGACAGTGCAGTTGCCGCAGGGCGCACACTACATACGCTGCCACGCGCTGAACGAGCAGGACACGAATACTGTGATCACGAACTACTATCAGATCGGGCCGAACAACGTGCGCTTGGAGTGCATCTTGGATCTGTTGATGATGTTCGTCGAGGAGCCGCTGTTCGATCAGCTGCGCACCAAGGAACAGCTGGGCTACCATGTCGGCGCGACGGTTCGCATGAACTACGGCATTGCCGGCTACTCCATCATGGTCAATTCGCAGGAGACAAACACCACGGCCAGCCACGTGGAGAAGCGCATCGAGGTGTTCCGCAACAATATGCTGCAGATACTCGAGGAGATGTCCCAGGAGGACTACGACCATACGCGTGACTCCCTCATCAAGCTGAAGCAGGTCGCCGACACGGCGCTGGCCTCCGAGGTGTCGCGCAACTGGAACGAGATCATCAATGAGGAGTATATGTTCGACCGTCGCCGCCAGCAGGTCGAAGTGCTGCGCACTCTGACAAAACACGAAATCGTCGCTTTCCTGCTGGACAACGAGATCAGCAACATGCGCAAGGTGTCCATACAGGTGATTGGCCATGAGCTGGCCAAGTCGAAGATGAAATCGCTAGCCGAAACGAGCGCTCTTGCTAAGCGTACGCTAAGTGAGACAAAGTCCATCAATGAGGACGATGCTGACGAAGATGTTGAGATGGAAAGCAGCGCGGAAGAGGGGGACGAGGAGCAGGACGAGGATGAACTCTTCCAGGCGCTAGCCGACAAACTGAACGTTGTCTTTCTGCCCGAAGAGGGCGATGCCACCACCATTGTGGACATTGCTGAATTCAAGTCGAATCTGGATCTATACCCCATGAATCTGGCCAATACCGAGAATGCCAGCACCAATCCAGCGCTGATCGAGGACATAATGATGTCATGAACACAACACACGGACACACCTGAAGGTGACCACATAGAAAACTAACAACGACAGATATAAATTAATCAAATATATATATGTATTTATATACATATAAATGTAGATTTGTGAGTGTGTGTGTGTGTGGGAGTCCTTTATAAGGATTCATCTCACTGATATTTCTAAGAAAACTATTGCGAAAAATCAAGCCACATTTTCAAAATGCAGCTTGACTACATTAGCAAAATGTAACACAAATACACTCACACACATACACACACACTCACAAAAATTTACACCCACCCACGCTTACACTAACGTTTTATAAAAGAAAGAGATAGATAAATGCATTTCGTCTCTTTTCCGACGACAATTCAAGAAGAAGAAGATGAACAGAACTAAATTTACGTTTACCAAATAAATGAAGTAAAATATGGTATTTGTACGAATTTTTTTACATTCACTAACAGATATACGCACATATATGCATTGTATATTAGGATACATTCATTGGCAGCTTCGTCTGGAGGTAGACTATATCTGATCTAAGCGAAACAATACTATTCCAGAATTTGGAATTTATATGCTTGTCCAGACAAGCCAAAACTAAATATACCTCATAGTGAAGTATCGTGAAGGGATCCCAGATCACAGATCCTCGCAAGGGTCTACCAAGTAAATTCGCGATTTCTAGTTTCTTGGGGTATTGAAAGGAACCAAATCAAATCATCGATTATTATCGATAAGGGAATGGAATGATTTATCGATTTAAACAAGTAAACTATGTATGTATGTATAGCAAATTTGATATCTCTAGCTTAAGAGTTCGCTGGATCGACTCAGCTATGACCTAGATAAAAACAGCTGGTCAAATCAATTGTTTGACTATGATAATAATGTATATTCCATGTACCTACATATATGGTAGGGCAATATGTAAGTAGAGCTATAATTATAGACTTCATAGACATACTCTGCCCCTCTCCCACTCCCATTCTTTGTCTCTCACATTTGCTGGTATAGGATCAATCATTTATTTGTTCTTTATTTATACACGTCAGTTTGTGTTTGTGTCTGTATTTACATCGATGTATGCGTATGTATATATGTATATATATTATTTATATTTACATATATATGTACAAGTATAAACTTTAGAAATATATGTACTTTCTATATATGATATTGTTGCTATCAAAAATTTTTTTTAATTTTCCAAGTCGTTAAATTTACTTGTGCTTGATTAATTATGAATTAATATTTGTATTTAACGATTTGAACGGAGACGCAGTTCCCATATACTAGATATATATATGTATATATAGCCTATATATAGTATATGGTATAGATCGAGAATCTCGATTGTTTCGCATTTACATTGAGCTTTCCGTTTATACGTACATATCTGTTAACTTAAGCATAAGTAACAATATATAGTCCATAGTTGTATGTTGTTGTTCTTGTTGTTTGTGTGCTTATGGTCTTGTCTGATGTGGCCTTAGATATTTTGTTCACAACTGAACTTAAGGATAAAGCGAGAATAGCATACATATAATATTAGAGTACAAAAAACAGTATTATCAACAACGGAATAACAAAAAAAAAAAAAAAGATTAAATTATATATAATGCGTATATATGATATATATATATATATATATATGTATATAGTAAGAATATGAACTAAATTTGTTAAATTTTTTCTCTCCGATTGCTTTAGATAATTTTCTTATGCTTTTGCTTATATACAGATTTCTAGTTGTGTGGAACGGTAAATTTAGGTCTTGCTTAGAGCTTTTGCAGCTCGGTGCTGTCGGCCAGGTAGCGGGACTGCAGTATCCTTGGCGTCCGCTCGTTGGCATCCTCGAGCAGTCCCTCCTCGTGCTTGGCATTGTCGCTGCCGTTGGCGCCGAAAATGCGCGAGATGAGCGAGGTATTGGAGCGCTTGAAGGCCGCCATCCGTTTGCCGTTCATGATATCGGGCAGGTCGTCAAGGCCGCGATGCAGCGACAATTTGTCCAGTTCCGAATCGGAGCCCTTGGAGCGCTTGGCACGCTCCGCCAGCAGTTGAGCCTCGTACTCGGCGGTGCGCAACGTCTTGGCCGTTGGCTTCCGATACATTTTGAGGAGGAGCGACGAACAGACGACGCTCACCGAGCTGGCGGCCATGGCCACCGATGCCATCCAGGGCTGCAGCGTAAAGCCGAAGGGCGCAAACAGTCCGCTGGCCAGGGGAATGCCCAGCAGGTTGTACATGCTGGCGAACAGGAAATTGTAGCGTATGCGACGCACTGTGCACCGGGACAGATCCAGGCAGGCGACCACGTCCAGCAGATCGTTGCGCATCAGCACAATGTCCGCCGCCTCAGCGGCCACATCTGTGCCCGCGGCTATGGTGATGCCCACGTCGGCTTGCGCCAAGGCGGGACTATCGTTGACGCCATCGCCCACCATGGCCACGCGTATGCCGCGCTGCTGAATCCTCTGGATCTTGGCCACTTTATGCGAGGGCAGCACTTCCGCATACACAGTGCGTATGCCCACCTGCAGGGGAAAGAAACCAGATTAATGACAGTTCATACGTCATGCACCTACTCATCTCGACTCACCTCGCGGGCAATGCTGGCCGCGGTATTCTTGTTGTCACCCGTCAGCAGAACCACGTCGATGCCCATGCGCTTGAGCGTGTAGACAGCCAAATGAGCCTCCGGCTTGACCATGTCGGCGACAGCGAACATGCAAACCATCTGCCCATTGAGGGCACAGAGGACAGCGGTGTGTCCCTTGTGCTCCTCACGTGTCATACAATCGCTAATCTCCAGTGGCACCTCGATGCCGTTGCGCTGCATCCATTCCCGATTGCCGATGAGCACTTGGATCTCCTGCCCATCGATCAGTGCCTGCTGATCGGGCTGTGGGTGCTGCTGGCGCTGTTCCAGATCGAGGGCCCCATCCAAGGCGAGCAGCTGCTGCTCGATGTACTTCTCCTGCAGCTGCAACTGGTCTATGCTGGCGCCGTTGTCCACGGCGATGGCAGTGTGCGGGTGGGCGCGGCACAGGTTCTCATAGTTGATGATGCGCTCCGCATTGCAGGCCTGCCGCAACGCCTGCTCGTAGTTGGAGACGGTGGCCCGAATGCCGCAACCAGGCACCGACTGAAAATTCGAGCTCTTGCCAAAGCTATTCTGCACATTCAACATATCCTTGGCGAAGTGCACGATGGCCGACGCAATGGGATGCTCGCTGTTCTGCTCCGCGGCGCCAATGATGGTCAAGGCGCGGGCCAGGCTGCACACTTGCGGCGGCACGAACAGCGTTACCCGGCTGGTCATCGGAGTGCCGTGCGTTATGGTGCCCGTCTTGTCAAAGACAACTGTCTTGACCTGCAACAAGCGGATCAGATTAATAACTATGCTCGATATGGATTAATGTATTTCAATATATGTATGTATTTACTTATGTATGTCCTGCATATGTATGTATGTATTTACATCATTTAAAATTAAAGTTTAGAGCCCCATCTTTAAATTTTGTTCTTTACATAAACTCAATATGGCAGGCAAAGCTAAGCGCCCACACACACTAATACTAACGCAGACGCCTACGTACATGCGTCATTCTCATACGATGCTTTAATGCCCTACGCAAAAGGAATCGTGCAAGAATGACAGCTATTTTGCCATGCTGCTCCTTAAGGAGCTCAAATTCTCGGGCATACACAAACGCACTCACGCCCACACACATTTAAATTTGAGAGAGCGGAGAGAGCACAAAAACGAAAATGTCACATCAACAGGCAGCCAGACTTACGCACACACTCATACACACAAAATGCCGTTGCCTGCAGAATTTTTGTTTTTGTATTCTTGAAGCAAGTCGCTTGTCATGACCTACGCAAAAGGGAAGCATGCAATATAAAGTAATTTACACATTTAATAATGTGTTTATTTAATTACATACATATGTATGTCTGTATGTGTATGTATATATTTTCAGCTTAATTATGCTTCAAGTAATAACTATTTCGATTTTTTGGTATTTTATTCTTGGTCACACTAGCTTTTTGTGTTTGAATAAATAGCATACGTTAGTGCTGGCTCGATCGCACTGACTGGGTAGAGCGAGTGAGCATGTGAGAAACAACGGTAATTGTTGCTTATGTATTTAGAGCTTGCATGCTCTGGCTCTCATTGCTGACATAGTTTATTGAGAGCGTAGCCAGCGACCGTCTCTCTCGCTCTCTCTCTATTTGCTCCTATTCTATCTTATTCACTCACCTTATGGGCATTCTCCAGGGCTGTGGCTCCTTTGACCAGCACACCATTCGTAGCGCCAGTGCCAGTGGCCACCATAACAGCTGTGGGCGTGGCCAGGCCTAGGGCACATGGGCAGGCAATGGCCAAGACGCTGAGAGCGCACTTGAAGGCGTAGCTAATGACAATCGTATTGCGATCCATATGCATCTTGTGCTCCATGGCCACTGGCACCAGATCCGGATTGGCAAAGCCGGCAATGATCCAGCCGATGAGCGTTATGGTCGATATGGCCACCACAAAGGGCACAAAGTATCCGGCAATGCGGTCGGCCAACTGTTGTATGGGAGCCTTCGATGTTTGGGCCTCCTCGACGAGTCTCACGATCTGCGCCAGCGTCGTATTCTCGCCGGTGTGCGTCGCCTCGACGAGGAGCACGCCGTTCCGATTGATCGAGCCGCCAATGACAACGGCACCCTTGCGCTTAGCCACCGGCATGGATTCGCCCGTGATGAGGGACTCATCGCAGCTGGAATGGCCGAAGAGCACTTTGCCATCGACGGGCACCTTGGCCCCGGGTATCACCTTCAGTACATCCCCACGCTGAACATAGTCCACGGATATGGTCTTCTCGCTGATTATGTCAAAGTCGGGTGAGATCTCAACAAGCAGCGCATCGGCCGCTTTCAGTGAGAGCAGCTTGGACAGCGCCTCCGACGTCTTTCCCTTGGCTATGTGCTCCAGCCAGCGGCCGAGCGAAATGAAGATCAGCAGCATCGGCGGCGTATCGAAGAAGGTCAGCGGCGAGCTATTCTGC